GCCGTCAGCTCTGATGCCGCTGCTGCCCTGACCTTGTGCTCTAATGGGAGGAGGAAAAGAGACAATAAGCCAGTCACAGAAAAAGAGCTCAAATGTGTGGTGTGGGAGCTGGAGAGAGGAGGGGCTGGAGGAGGCGGTGAAAAGGCACAAGCCTGCAGCCTGGAGCTAAACAGACGCTGCCCCAACCAGGTGTGACTGAGACAGAGGGCAGGCAGCAGGTGAGCCCTACAGTTCTCACCACAGGAGCCAACTTCTCCCTTTTCTTCTCTTCCCTTCCCTTTGTTTCAGGCATCACTTCATGGCTCTGTGAAGCCACCCTCAGGCTCACACCTTAAACTCACACCTTGACAGTGCGGGCTGTTTCTCAAAAAAATCATTTCTTTCTCAATAAAACTTGGTGAGGGGTAAAATATTCACACCTTGAGGAAATATGACTTGAATTAAAGTGAAAAGGTGCATAGATGATATTCCCCACTGGGAAGTGGGGTCTCTGCCAACATCAAGTTGGGGTGTAGACACGTGGGGTTCCCGTGGTCCTTGCCCCATAACTGGTGTGTCCTGGTAAGAAATGGGAAGCTTGGACCCAGGCCACAGGGGCAGGCTGAGAGGAGGCGGGGGCGGAGGCAGCCGCCGAGATGCCCCAACGCAGGGCCGCCAGCAGCTGGAAGCAGCAGCGTCCCGCAGAGCGACCTCTCCAGCGCTCTTTCCTCATGTCTGGTTGGAGGAAGGAAACTCCAGCCAGATACACCGAGGCTGGGCAGCACACAGGTGGCGAGTGGCCACACACAGAAGTGGAGCACGAAGGGAGCGCCGAGAGGTTCCCGTCAGCCTGTCTTCCCGGGAAACAGGATGGCAAGGACGCGAAACCATCAACTCCAAAATCTGTATTTTCCACACAGTTTACTAGAACACCATTTGTAATAGTCAGGGCCTAAGTGCCCACCGACAGAGGCCTGGATGAGGAAGACGTGGTCTCTCCCCACCATGGAACACTACCCAGCCATCAGGAAAGACAAACTGTTACTATTTAAAGCAAATTGGGGAGTACGAGGGAATTACATGTAATAAAACCAATCAGAAAGAGACAGACAGATACTGAACATTTTCCCAGACCTGAGAAGACGGGACCACAGCAGATGAACCAAACAGCTATAACCTAGCAGGTGCTCAGAATGGAAGTGAGGTGTGTGATATCTGGAGGGGGGAAGCAACAGATACTTTATTTTGCCTTAAAAGAAAAGAAACAGGAAGGCAGACTATCGACGGTGGAGAGCACGGAGGGTGAGGCGCCGCAGAGCAGTGACAGCATTGTACTGACAACCATTGTTAGGTTTGACGGAAAGCTGGCTTAGAGCAAGGGCCACTTTTTTCTCAGATACAGTGTGAACTGACCCCATCATGTCCCAACACAGACTGCTGGACAGCAACCATGAGCTCATTCATTTTCAGAAATAAAGAGAACTTTATGAAAGTTAAATAGGTATCACTGAGGCAGTTACAAACTTCATGTCAGGAATACTTTTTAATACCCTCAAATTTTTGCCTGGCGGCACAGGGGTTAAGCTGTCAGCAGCTACTGCAGCACAGATTCTATCCCTGGCCAGGGTGTGACCCACAGGGCGCAGCGGACCTCCCTCTCTCTCCACTGCTCCCCTCAGAGTGGATTTCAGTAGATCTGCCCGTTCTGCTCCCCGCTCTGTCTCTGGGGAATCCTCTGGCTCCCCACCCCTGTACCTCTGGCCTGTATCATGGCTCTTGTGTGCATAAATAAATAAGTCTTTTTTAAAAAATAGGGACAAGGAGGGCCCTCCCTGGTGGCACAGCGGGTTAAAGCACAGCACTGAGAAGCTAAAGCCACTTCCACATGAGTTCGATCCCCGCCTGCCCCGGAGGTGACCACATGGCGCGACAGACCTCTCCTGACCCGCCCGCGGCTCCCCTGAGCAGTATACTTTGTCAGTCTGCCTGTTCTGCTCCCCACTCTGTCTCTGGTGAATCCTCTCACCCTCCACATCTCTGGCCTGTACCCCAGTTCCATACAAATAAATAAATCTTTAAAAAATTTTTTTTAATAAAAATTTAAAAAAAGGGACAAGGAAACCTGTAATTAGAATTATTAGTTTGGCCATTATCACAATTTTGCCTTTTCAGATTCTTTTATTTTAAAAGAAAAGTGTCGGGGCCCTCCCTGGTGGCACAAGGGGCTTAAGCATAGCACTGAGGCAACCCACGGCCACAGCAGCACGACTTCAATTGCTGGCCCAGGGAGTGACCCGCATGGCGGCAGACCTCCCTGTCACATTTGCTGCTCCCCTCAGCAGTGTTTTTCTGTCAATTTGCCTGTTCTACTCCCCCCTGTCTCTAGTGACTCTCACCCCATCCCTCTGTCCTACACCCCAGTTGACAGATGCAAAAATAAACAAATCTTTAAAAAAAATAAAATCATCAACCAAACTCACAAAAACCAGCAGAATTAAATTTACTCTTAATCATGGTGCCACCACGGGTAGACCTGACCCTGACTGAAAGAAAAAAAAGATAAAAGTTGTGGAGAGGAAAACAACTGGTTTCCAAAGATCACCACAGAGATGATGCCACACGGGGTCCACGCTGTGATGTCCCTCATCTACCCCCTCCCCACCGCCCACAGGGCTCTGGCACTGCTGCGGTGCCCATGGCTGCAGAGACACCGACAGCGCCCAGCTAGGGCCGACGCCGGGGGCTGTCCGCAGGGGCGAGGGCGAGGCTTACCTGATGCACCTATTGGGGAGGTAGCTGGGGTCATGTTGTGGACACTGAGGCCAAGACTCTGGGAGGGGCCTGGGGCGGACGCTGCTATCGGAGGCCCAGGAGGGTTCTCCCTCTGGGGAGAGGTGAGCGGGGTGGTCGGCTGGGAGGTCTGTCCACCGGCGAGTCGTGCGAGGCGCCTCCGTCGGATCTGCAAGGGCAAGAGGCTACTGTGACTCACTGGCAGAGACCGGCCTGCCCACACGCGCTGGCTGTGCTGGGGCTTAGCAGCTACCCGAGCCGGAGAAGCAGCACTCACGGGGGGCACAGCTCAGCGCACCCGTCTGCCCACCAGTGACCACCTCCCTGGAAGACGCTGCATGTGGACCGCCCCAGCGGGGATGGCGGCAGCTTCCTGACGGATGCTGTGGTGGTGCCGGCGAGGAAACTGCACTCTGAAACACTCTGACCTGCTGTTATTCCCGTACACCTATTAAACTCGGTCATTTTTAAATAGGTGGGATATTAAAAATCCATTTAATTCACTAAAACAATGAGAAAAAGCAGTAAGTCACATTGCAACACCTTTGATTTAAGCAAATTTTCAGAAGCAAAATGATTTGTTTTTTCTTGACTACAATAAAAACATAACCTGTGACTCCTTCCTTACGATAAGATCCCAGAGTGGTCCTGAGATGATAAATACACGCCCTAAAATCCCAGTGGAGTACAGAGATGTCACCCTGCGTTTTGACAGACATTTGCTCATCACCGTCGAGGCCCCTCAATCGCCACCTGCTTTCCTGGGCACTGAAGACGCTCGACCAGGAGTAAGACCCAGGGACTGAGCAGGCACCACAGGGGCAAACCACGCAGGCCCCCGTCCTCCCAGGAGCATTTGGAAGAGAACTGAGTTAGACGGCGACAAACGATGGACCGTGTCTGAGCCACACACTGCAGGAGATCACCCGTTCTGTTATTCGAGCAAGAACACACACCTGATTCTTGACCCCATAGTCCAGAAGCGTGTGCCCTGCTGCAATCATTCTTCAATGCGCTTAACAACCCCTCTGGGTGTCCAGTTATCTGTGTACCTACTTAACCTAGAGTAAATCCCTGAAGGGAAAGCTGAGGTCTTAGTATGGACGCAAGTATCTCAGGCAATGTCCTGAGCGCCTTATGAGCACATGCATAACCTCGGAAGCAGGTGCTTCCACTGTGCCCAGCTTATCCCCACGGGCACAGAGAGGCAAGGCGCTGTGCCAGCAGGCGAGAGGACCGCACCCGTCCACTGAGCCCACGGCCGGCCGGGGACTCCCGGGCCCTTGCTGGACATCCTACGGCCAAGACTCTGGTAGGACTCAAGCCCCTCTTCTCTCCTCTTGGGTAGAAATTCTTGGGGGGGGGCTACATGCCAGGCAGGGCCACCACAGGTGCAGGAAGGCATGAATGCCCCCCACCCCCGCCAGGTGCTGGCACATCTGGAGAGTGGGAACATGTCACTCTCCCTGCTAAATGTGTCTTGGCAAATGTAGTTGTTATCACGGAACATGATATTTATATAAACACATGGTTTTCCTTATTTTTAAAGAATTACTAAATATTTTTCAAAAGTCTCGTTTTCCATTTCCATGGATACAGCCTTCGGGCTCCCTGGCAGCTTCCAGTGTAAGCAGGTCTGAGCCCAGAGCCGGGGAGCCCCTACACACCCCCCTACATACCCCGGCTGCCTCTCCCCAGCTTCCAGCCATCTCCCCTCACCTCCCCTCTGGCTCCCGACTCCTCTCATCTCCCCTCTATCTTCCCGACTCCCCTCGACCTTCCCACGGCCGCTCAGCCTGGCCTCTCACAGAGCTTGGGCGACTGACAGGACAGAGCTGAGGGGGCAGCAGGGGCCTCCACACCACCCAAACTGAGGTGCCAAAGGGATGAAGAAAACACAACTGGGCAGAGGGAGGGGCCAGAAGTTCCCATCCCTAACCCCCCATCGAGGACCAGGCCCAGACCAGGCTCCGTGATGGCCCCTTCCTTGCTCGCTTCACTTCCTGGGCCAGACACCTGACCAGTGCCCACCCTTCCCCTGAGCCTTCCTCCCCCCAGGCCCCTGGACACTGCCAACCTTGCTTGAGACTGTACCTGCCGCCCCAGCTGCTCTGGCCAGGCAGGCAGAGCCCCATTCCTTCTGGGAGTTTCAGGTTTCTGGAATGCAAATCAAAACCACAGAGCCACCTCACACCCTCAGGTGTCAGCAGCCAGAAAACATGACGTGAAGGCAGCAGAGGGAGGAGGGCCTGGATTCTGTGCAGTAGCCACGGAGCAGGGTGGCCAGTTACAAGATCAGCCCCCACTCCAGTTCCTGGGCGCCCCCCGAAGACCTGAAAGCAGGGGCCCAAACGGTCTTCCACCTGCCTCCACCATAGCACGACCTGCCAGAGCAGAAGGGGCAGTGCCCAGGCGCCCCAGCGGGTGGCTGGCTGGAACGTGGCAGGTGCCAGGAGCCTACCCAGAAGCCCACAGTCTTCGAGATGGAGCGTAAATGAAAGTTAAGTTGCCTCCCACAGAACACTGTATTTGCTATCTGATGCTAAACCAAGGCAGTATTTTAATTTTTAAAATGTGTGTGTCCACACAGGGAAGACAAGCAAAGGGCTGGGGAGAGCCAGGCATGCCTGTGGGCACAGGGTCTGCCTGAAATTTAGAGGCTGCAGACAGCACCCCACGCTCCATTCCCAGCTCAGTCAACCTTTACTGCTTACAGCTTCCCCCAGGCAGGCTGCAGCACCCTCCCTCGGGGGTGAGAAACACAGCAGGTCCCTTCCCCCCCCTTCCCCTGCCACGCCCCCTCTGTCCTTCCCCCCACCCCTTCCCCACAGCCTTTCTCCCTGTCTCTCCCCAGGCTGACTCCTTACCCGAAGTTTATTTCTTTGTATATGCTTATCCACCACCACCTTGCCCTATGCTTAACACAAGGATTTTTCTGTTTTTTTTTTTTTCCTCTGTGATTTCAGCAGTGCCTAGAAGACTTTAAGTGCTCCCAGAATAATCCTTGAATGTATGGAAAAGTAAATGAAAATGACTTAAAAAAAAAAAAAGCATCTCGCCTAGCATTTACTGCTCATGAGTTTGTATTTTCACTACGTCTGAAAGAGTACACCCACTCTTGGAAAAAATAAGATGGGTGCTTTCAATATGGGCGTTCAGTCTGGCCTGAGATTTAAACTTAGATGTCCTTGGTGATATAAACACAAAATGCGTGTCCTGAGTCCCGCAATACAGGCCCGAAAGGAGGCAGTTTTCCAAGAAGCAAGATTGCCCCAGCCCCTCGCCCCACCCCTGACTCCACAAACATAAATTAAAAAGAGAGAGAGACTAAAGAATCAAGACTTTGTGAAACATACTTGGACGTACAGGGAGAGGTGGACAGAGGCAGGTCTGTGCGGGCCAAGCCGGCCTGAGGGGCTGCCAGAGCAACCCCACTGGAAAGGGAGAGGCGTTACATAGGGCAGTGCCCCGGGCTGCCCACAGGAGAGGACAGCGTCCTTCAAGGACCCTGGGAAAAGCTGGCCAGAGACCTCCACGACAGTGGTTCATGCCGTGTAGAAAAAAGAGGGCTTATCTACTTACTCTGACTATTAAGAGGTAAGCTCATTTTTATCACAAACAGAACGTATGAGACATAGACTAAAAATAGTCAACACCCAGAATATTGTTGAACTATTTCCCTTTGCTTACTCTACTTTTCTACATGGAGCACATGGGGCTGGTAGCAACGGTCTGAAGATAAACAGAAGCCCTTTTTAAAAGAATTCTGTTTTCCCAGATGTCACAGAGGGAAAAAAAAAAACACCAAGAGCATAAAAAAGGAACCCCAAGTCCTAGACGTGTGTCCTAAACCACAGCCCACATGCCCCGGCCACGAAAGCTCATTCCTAGAGCTTTACCTGACTTCACTGTTTCGGTTCTTATTCCACAAATCACATTCAAACAGGGTTTTCCCCAGGACTGTTCTGTCCTGATGTAGCGTTTCCTTCGCTCACATTCCCAATTAACTAAAAATAGATTCCAAACAGCTACTGTTCTAAACATCGAGGGCCCTGGTGGCAGCTGAGCGGAAGCCACAGCAGGGGGTCACACAGTTCAGACATTTTGCAGGTTTCTTTCTGGGGGGTGGGAGCAAATCCAAAAGGCAAAGCAAACAGTGACCCTACAAAAGCATCTGACCTTTCCACTGAAATGTTAGGTTCCAGCATAAAGAGTACTTTCAAATCTCCCCCCGTTAGAAGGGTCTCCTTCCAGAGCCAGCTCCTACTTGGATGACCATGGTTGTTTTTATTGTCTTATTGAATAGCTTGTCATATCAAACACTTCTAAAATGCGATGACAATGTTATGATAAGCTGCCAACATGGTATCTCAACATAAATGGATTCAAATGTGATCATACTTGTGATCTAAAATGTCAGTTTACCATTAACAATTCACAATCTTAAGTTAATTTCCATTTCAAAGCTCCAAAAGTTTTGTCATTTAAACCCTTTTCCCATTTTTTAAAGATTTATCTATGCATACAGAAGTGGGGTACAGGCCAGAGCCACAGGGGTGATGAGAAGATTCATCAGAGACAGAGTGGGGAGCAGAACAGGCAAATCGACGAAGGACAGTGCTGAGGGAGCAGCGGGGAGACAGGAGAACTCTGCCACGCCCTGTGGGTCACTCAGCTGCACTGAAGCAGCTGCAGCTGGCTTGCAGTGCTGCACACTAACCTGTTGTATCAACAGGGAGGGCCCATCTTTCCCCCATTCTGAAAGAATATTCTGAGCTCAGTTTGCCACGGTTAACATTTAAGTATGAGGTCAAAAATATGAAGGAAAAAAAACTCTTCAATTTTAACACTGGGAAGAAAAACTGACAGTCTCCTTCAAAGATTTCAATGGTTGAGCCCTCTCTCGTAGCACAAGGGGTTAAAGCGAAGCACTATGAAGCCATCCACAGCCACTGTGGCCTGAGTTAGATCCCGGCCCAGGGAGGTGACCCACAGGGCGCAGCAGACCTCTCCTGTCTCACCCGCTGCTCCCCTCAGCAGGGTGCTTCCTCAGTAGGCCTGTTCTGCTCCCCACTCTGTCTCTGGTGAATCCTCTCACCACCCCTGAACCTCTGACCTGTACCCCAGTTCTGTATGCATAAAGAATAAATAAATCTTTAAAAAAAACAC